AAAATTAAAAAAAAAAAAAAAAGCTTCTGGTTCACTTTTGTTTCATATGATGCGCTGCTAAGTAAGCGCGACTGTGTTATGCTGCCCCCTGGTGTTCATTTTTATATACATGACCAGTGGGAAAATAATCCTTTGTACGTTTTTGAAGCAGGTAGCTATGACATGAAACGCGTTCTTTCGTAAAGCCCAATCACAGAACTAATTTGAGTGGTTCAAAGTTCAACCTTTATGGACATCTGAAATATTAGTGTGATCCTTCTTATCTCTCCTATAATATATAACCTTTGAAAAAGGAACTGGAAGTGATTAAAAAAAAAATCAGAAATGGAGATAACTCAGCCCAATGATTTTTAGTAGTAGTTAGTATTCCAGACACTCTGCTCCAGGCTTTCAGAAGGACAAGCTTACTCACATCATGCTAAACGCATTTATTTTTCACTCTCATTCTCTCACTAGTATGCAGTAGAATTTTCTAGAAAAAAAATAAAATCATTAAATTGCTTTCATTATAATTCTTATAACAGTCATTTTCTACTACTGATAGTAAAATGGATATTTATCCACCATTTAAAATTCTAGGCTCCTATAAAATTAATCAAAGAATTCAATTTACAGACTAGAAAATAATAAATTCCTATGGCCTACATTAATCTAAACTCCACCTCTCTTTTTAACACTAATCTCTTCTAAAACTCCATTTATTCCTTAGTCTTGTTCTTCTCTCTATCAATACAGTATGTCAGCCATGGTTTTACCTTTGTAAAAATTTATACTCAACACAAAAAGTCGGTAAAAGTCTTGCCTTTTACATGAAATTCAGAGCACAGAGGACAGGCTTCAGCCTACTCTCAGTAAAAAGAAAACTTGTCAAGTGCTAATCTGGCTTCTGCCAATACTAGAGAGCCCAGAGAGACATTGGATGAAACTGCTACTAAAAATCTCCAGCCACAAAGTTAAATGATAGATTTTTGTCACAAAATATTTTATTAAAAATAATGTCCTGGCTACTACTTTTAACCATGGTCAAACTGGGGCCAAGCACCGACTTGCAAATCTCTCGAGACAGGCTAGCTCTGAAATTGGCCAGATGACTGGTGCATATCCATCCCCCGCCTCAGGACAGCACCAGTCTGTCTAAAACTCTCTACACCTTGCCCTGTGGAGAGGCCCCACCTCGTCCTGCACCTAACACCTGTCTTCAGAGTGCAGAATCCTGCTAGGCGCATGAAGCCTAACTTCCAATGGGAGAGCTAGCTAGTTAGCGACAACAGAACATGTGTGAAGACTGGTCAGGAAAAGGAACTGGCTTGACGTTATTCTGACATGTCAAATACTTTTCATTTATAACATTTCCAATAAATGTTAAAGTGACAAGATTTTCAAGTCTTTCTTTGCTAACAGTTCAAGCAATATTCAGTACACTTATTTACAACAGAGTGAAAGAAACTCAGATTTGTTTTAATCAAAATTTATATGTGCACATATTTAATTTGCTTATTTTTCAATGAAAAATCATCTTGAATAAAAGGAACTAATCAGAAAATTAGACATGTTACCTTAATTATATTTTCTCAATGTAAGAGAATAAACTACTTGCAGACAAGTAGAAGCAAACTTATAATATTGCTAAGATGAAGCATTCATGTATATTTTAAAGTAAGTGGTGAAGGACATCAATATAATTCTAAAAAAAAAAAATGCATATACTTCAGGCTACTGTGTTCTAGCTTAATTAATGAAGTTTCACTATCATCCAACAAAAAATTAAAACACCTTCCCAGTGTTTTTCCACCACAGCGTCTGTCCCTTGCTAACGATGTTCTCCATGCAGCCTGACTAACGGAGGCCAACCCAGCCTACACTATCACAGTTCCACAAACCTATCTTGTTCATTTCCGATCTCTGCCCAAATGCTACAGCACTCAGAATGAATCAGAAACACTGTCGGTGCTTGCTGAATGAGAAAACGCATTAGGAAGGAAGGAGGAAGGAAAGAAGGACTTAGAGAGAAAGGAAGGGAGGGATTCCACCTTGTAACATGGAAGCTGTATCGGAAGTTACCTACTAGTACACATTCCTTCATTGTATTAGTAATATTAGCCGATCACACAGGCATTTTCAGTGCATCAGTTCTTAAAGGAAAGATTCTCAGAAGCAGCCAAAATAAATTAATATACCAAGTTAGCCCTCACCAATAGAAAGCAGGAAGATAAGCTGGTCTTAGCACGTCTTAGAAAATGCATGCTGTTGTTTAGCTTTTATGATACCATGATAGGGCAAATGGATTATTAGTTTAAAATTAGTAAAATCAGGTTATTCTCCAAGAAGATTACTCTGGCATTGGATCAAGCAGTGGATGGTGATGGCCTTCGCAGTAGAATAGTAAGGGGCAAGGACAAAAAGCAGATGTGAGAAAATCATTTCATCTCCGAATGCTCCAACCTCACGGGGGCCATGCTGGCGAATGACACAGACACAGCAAACCAGGCAGGCACAATGCAAGAAAGCCTCACCCAGAAACAGGGACGAAAACTTACCACCTAGAAAGAAAATTTATTTTAAAAATGGATCCACAGGGAAGAGATGAGAAAAACACAATTCCACATGGTTAATGTTTATGATAGCAACCATTCATTCAACATACTTGTAATAACATGCATTAAAGATAAAGAAACCTCATATATAAAACCTAAATGGGCAGCTCTAAGCGATTTTAAAATCGAAACTGAGAATCAATTATCAAAAATATGATTCGGAAGATAAGGAGACACACTGTTATTTATATTCCCTTTATATCACTAATTTTGCTACTATAGCCAATTGTTAATTATACTTGGCATAGTTGGCATACTTGGCATAGTTCCAGAAAAATAAATGTCCATTTATATAAACCATCCCTTCCTCCCCAGGCACCAGAAATGAAGTTCAATACTTTATATCATTTCCCTACAATCCTCAAAACTGTCTAAAGATAGGGCAAGAAGAAGTGGACTAGATCCGTGCTTCTGAACTCAAGGGCTCTGGACACTAGGGAACCCATAGTTCATCCGGTCATCAGCCATGCTGAGCTATCTGAACAAATAAATCTTCACCTTTATTTGTTGCTGTTCCTCAAATTATTATGAATAACAAGGCAATGTTGATTTCAAAGTATTATTAAATAGTTATATTAGCTTTTTTAAAAAACAATCTAGAAGGCCAAGTGTGGTGGCACATACCTATGATCTCAACACTCGGAAGGCTGAGGCAGGAGCATCACCATGAATTGGAAGGCAGATTGAACTACACAGTGAGTCTAGGCTAGCCTAAACTACATAGTGAGACCCTGTCTCAAAAAATTGTCTAGAATTTAGTAGAAAAGAGTCCCCTAAATAACATCCTCTATAGAAAATCTTTGAGATTCTGAAACTTTTTTCTCCTTCCAGTTATTCCACATTTGCTCAGTTAACAGATACTAAATATAAAACTATCATCTGTGGATGGGACATGAAAATATCTGCTATGAATATCTGATAAGAAGACGACCAGTCAGGTTTAATGTGCCTTTTTGTTCGTTTGTTTGCTTTGAGGAGCACTGAAGTTTCAATATCCCTTATACTAGGAATCCCTGGTTTGATCAAAGTTACATGTAGATACACTCAAAATTATCTCCTTGGGCCATAAATCTAGGTTAAGAAATTGAGGACTGAAAAAGGGCAGGGTATAAATGTTATCGCAAAACAGGTACAAAAGAAAGTCATGAATACTTGCTGGCCAGGTAATGAAAAAAATAGAAGTCAGGATACCCCACAGACTGGTCATCCCCTTCACAAGATTCAAGAATAGCAGTGCCTGACTGCGCACAGGATAGCAGCACTCTCTTCCCTAGAAGTGTTCCCTGAAAATACCAATACTCGTGGTCTGTATAACCTCTGGAAATGTGCTACTTACAAAGTGGTATGGACTTAATTTGTCCCATGACTTTGGTTTTTTTTAATTTTTAATTTTTATTAATTTTAATGAGAAAGAAATAGCAATGAGACAGTTTTAAAACAGGTTAGTTATGATAATTAATACACTGCATATTGTCTTCATAGTAGTTATTCAGAGTACAAGATGCAGACAAGATATCTTGTCTAAACAATATTAATAAAAAATACGGAATGCTTCACCAGTGTGCAAGTCATCTTTGCACAGGGTTCATGCTAATCTCTGTATCACTCCAATTTTAGTATGTGTGCTGCCAAAGCAAGCACAAAAGTTGAGAAGGATTGGGGTGGGGGGGCATGAGGCTGGCTCAGGCTGCCTAAAAGGCAGGTCTGGTAAGGCATATGGAGCTGGGGATCAAACCACAGTCCCCTGCGCCCGACTGGGTTTGTCCAAGTGGCGCTTAAACAACTGAGCTAACCCACCTGCTCCTGCTCTATGACTTTGGCAAAGAGGCTCCATCTGTGCCTGTGTTAGAAAGCTGGACCCAGTCATGTTGATCACCTGATGCAGAGCTCACAAACCATTTTTTTTCAAAAGTACTTCTATTTGTGAACCAAATTGTTTGCAAACAAAAGCATTTGTGAACCAAGGTAGGACTGTCGCACTAAGTTACTCTGAACTTACCTATCACAATTCCTCAAAGGGAGCTTCCAAGCTCAGCTTTTGCAGTAGCAGCGCACCTCGCCTTCACCGTGCTGCGGGAGCAGCCCTTCCTCCACCTCAGTGGTCCCAACTCTGCTACTACTGCCACTCAGCAGTCCCACGCAGGTCCAGTTTGCCTGTTTGTTTGTTTGTTTGTTTGTTTGTTTGTTTTGAGGAGCACTGAAGTTTCAATTAAGGGAAATGGCTGGCCTTTGGAATAGTAGTAGGTTTAGTATCTAAAATACAGTCAGTTGTTTTAATGTAACTTTTTAAACTGTGAGTAGATTGTATTATAGCAAATCAAAGGATGATGGATTCTTCAATTACAGAGAAACATGATGCTCCAAAACCGATGGAGCAGCAGCTCTAATCTGCAGGTATGTATATTCAATCAAGAAATTATGATTTTCTGTAATGTGAAGAATGTAAGTAAGCCCAAGAATGTCACTTCAATGAAAGGTGAAGGTTTATAATTATGAATTTAAGAAGCTTATTCTCTAAGAGAGAAGATAATTAGGTTATTTTACATTATTTCGATTTTTAACTAGATAAAAAAAAACTAGATGCACTGAGTAACAGGTTAAAGGGTGGACTCCCTTACTCAGTTTTCACACCTAACTTAGATTCTCTTTTCAGCATTGTATTTCAGCCACTAAAATGCCTAGCCTGTAAGTAAGCCTCTGCCTGCCATCTGGTGGACAAAGAAGATACGGAACATACACATTCTGGCGACACCACTAAAGCCACCTTTGTGCACAATGTGATAGACAGGGAAAATTGTGCTCCTGTGTAAAATAAAAAGTGTTTTCTTTATCTACCTGCCGTGGCGATTAGGTAAGGAATAAAAAATGTATATGCGTGCAGAAGCCACGAGCTGCCCCTGCCAGGCTTGGATTCCTACAAGAGCTACACAAAGCCGCACTCACATGGCCGTGGAGGTCCGTGTTCAGAAGCATCATGGCGCAGGTCAGGCAGTGGACACCATCTGAAAACAGAAACGCAGGCAGAAAACATCAGTGCCCTGCTTACCATTCGACCCGCTTCACGAAAACACAGCCTGGGCTAAAACACAACTAGCTGTACGTGTCTGGGGCAACAGGAAGTACATGTAAAAAGTTTACCGAAAGGACCTTAATGTGAAGGGTTGGATTCCACTGTTCATAAATTGTCCTGAAGTCTGTACACACATAATGTCAAATGGCCCCCCAAAGTCCTTTCACACAGCAAATGAAGTTCAAGACTACACACTAAGAAAATAAAGATCTAAAGATGCAATACAGGGCAGGCCAAATAGCTCAGCGGATTAAAGAGCCTGTTTAGGCAGGGAATTCAATCCCCGGGCCTGCTGTACTGGCCCCGCCTCTGGGGCGCGCTGAGACCGCAATTGAGACTGAGCATGGCGGTGCGTGCCTGTAATCCCAGCATTTGGAAGGTGGCAAACAGGAGGATCACTACAAGTCCATCTGTGCAGTGAGACCCTGTACCAGGGTCTACAAGGTCTCGCTGCACAGATTGGAGAGAGAGAGGGAGAAAGAGAGAGAGGGAGAGAGAGAGAGAGAGAGAGAGAGAGAGAGAGAGAGAGAGAGAGAGATCTCACAGAGAGAAGTAAACACAGCCTTCCAAAACACAATCTTTTTATGTGAAGGCCATTTAAAAAGTTGCCCAACTTCACCTGAAATGGAAAGATAGTTGACAATTTTTATACAAAATCACATATAAAGTATAATTCAAACTTAAATACAAATAACATCTAGAAAAATATACATGGCATTAAAAGAGATTTTCTTTCTGTCCTGTGATTAAAATTTCTGTTTAAATTTATTCCTTAATTTTCTCATATACATGATATAAAAATGAAAATTTCTTATTTTTGTTACTGTTTTAACCTGAGAGGCAAATAAACTGAGAAGCAAAATTCAAAGAAAATATAAATCATGGAGGCTGGGAGTAGCACGCATGCCTGCCTGGCAAACACAAGGTTCTGATTTCGATCCTCAGTACCAAGAAAAAATCCCTCATGGCTGTGATCTCCCTAGAAATTCATTCAAATCAATGCATTTAGGTTGAATGGTTTTGTCTACGACACTGCAAATCAAAAGTAAAACATTAAGTAATCTGTGAAGATCAAAACACTAAATGTTCAAGGAGGAAAGCTGCCCGAACAAAAATGATTGTTTTCTTACTTTATACAGTAAAAGAAAAAGCTTAAAGAGTTAAGCTACTCATTCCCAAATATCAGAATTAGTCCTCTTTATTTTTTTCCTCTGAATTTTGAAGTCAAGCATAGTAGGAATTAGCAGATTCAGATGTAGAAAAATCTTATTAATCGATGTCAAGTGTACAAAAGGGACCATCCAATTACTGAATTAATAAATTTAAATAAAGACTTTTTAAAGTATACCTTTTGGTACACTGTAGGCCATTTCTACTATCCATGTTTTTAATCACATGCTCTTAAATATTTAGAAGTATATTTATTGCAGTGTCACTTTATTATCCCAAACTCCACACATTTTTAAAACAAATTCCTGTAATTTTACACAAATCATCAGCCTACTCTCTTTTTTTTCTTTTTTTTTTTGTACCAGGGTTCGAACTCAGGACCTTGTGCTTCCCAGGCAAGCACTTACTCCACTGAGCTAACTCCCCATCCCTCATCATCAGCCTACTCTCAATTATCCTTATCAACACCAGTTCAATAAGATAAACTCATATTTCATTAAGATCACAGATGAAAGGCATGGTTGATATTCTTATAATTAATAAGCACCAAAAGAAACAGTCTCAGAGAGGTCTGTAAACATTTCCAAAACAAATCACAGAACCACACATATGTGAAGTTTCATCAGGAAGTATAAGTAAAAGGGATACAAGGGGAAGAAAAAAAATCACACATTTTTTCTTTAAATTTTTTTCAGACAGGGTCTCACTATGATGTTCAAGTTGGTTTCGAACTCACTTTGTAACCCAAGCTGGCCTCAAACTCCTGACAATCTTCCTAAGCCTCTAGCCCTCTGGGATTACAGGTGTATTCCACCATTCCTGGTAAGAAATTCACTTTCAATAATTTACTATAACATGCTTTGTATAAAATCTCTGAGTGACAAAGCTGATCAACTTAAAAAATAAACTAGCATACTTTCAAATTGCAAAATAAAATAAGACTAAGAAATATACTATCATTAACAATGTTTTTAAAGAATACTTAGTGATATAAGAAAATAAAATGAAAAGATAGGAAAGAAAACTGCAGTGATTCTAATTTGACAACAAGTATTATATAAATAGAAATAAGTTAA